AAGTTGCCAGCTGCATCGATGGCGTGACATCAGAGATCGATAAAACAACAGCTGTTCAAGGTATTCGAGGTACGGTGAAGAATAAGTGGACGAAACGAATAATCAGCTAGTACTCTCACGATTTTAGCGCCTACCTAAAACTCGGCTCAGCTCGGCTGCGCGATGCTTGGGTTAGTGTTCGAGCTGTGAAAACCGTAGTATCTAACTTGCTGTTTCGATGAAATCCTAGGTATCGCATTCAAGGTTGCTAATTTTTTGTTAGCATCAAGTTTCTACACATAATTGCGGGCTCGTATCCTCAAAATGGACGCTCAGGTCCGTGTGGTTCTCACGTAGGGGCATGTGAAAGTTTTTATGGTGGGAAAGGGTTTTCGGGAGTGGCTTATGCTAGAAGGCTGGAACTTCACAGAGTTGTATGGGCACTGGAGAATGTATTTCTCAACAGTCTGTTTGTATAATTTCAAATTTTTACCAATAACTAATAGATCACTGTTCTAATCAAAATATGAACAATGCTAACCGATTACTTTATCGCCATGATTCAGCCAACCCAAAAATGCATAATAGAGTGAGAGGTAGGCGCCAACCGTAACTAAAACATTTTGCTGAGCATTCACTTCCACGCCCAATAAATTTGAATATAATCTCGACAGGACGCTCGTCTGAAGCATTTTAAAAGGAATTAACACCTCAGCAACACTGTGGAATATTCCGAATATAAATTTGTGTGGTGAACCAAGAGTTTATTTTGAGTACTAAAATACAGTAACATTTAAACAAAAATCCACATTTACGGCTATATAAATATGAAGTTAAGCTGTTGCTTTGCCTCTGCTTAATGATAAGGTCCAGCTGTGATGCTTAGATAAAACCTATAGTGACTCCATGAAGAAAAAAAACGAAAAAAAATCTTAAATTTCAAGGCAACAATAAATAATATGAAATAAAAATGGGCCATTTTATTAAAAAACCCGCGAGACTCGTCATTTTGCGAACATAAGGCTGAAATCCTTGTTGTGTGATTGTGGCCTCGAGCCTTTTTGACCGAAACAACTGACCCAAGCTTTTATTAATTACAATGACTCATTTCCCACAAATTCAATTCAGTTTTACTTTACCGCTAACTTTAAACTGAAATTTCGTTTACTCACACATTTATGTCTATACACATATATTATTCAACTTTTCGTTACTGATAACCAAGAAAAGGCTGGCAACTTCCATTATCATTATTATTGTTGCCATCATTATTTCTAACTATTATTATTACCATTATTATCGCTATTTCTACTACTATTATCGTTGTCATTGTTATGATTATTATTACTTCTATTATCATTACTACTAGTGTCATTGTTATTATTGCGATTATTGTTATGATAATTTAAAAAAAAAAAAAAAAGAAAAATAGCAGGAGCTAGCTGATCAGACTGATAAACCAGTCATTTGCACAAACAAATTAATAGCTTCGAGAGAGAAATTACTTAAAAAAATCTATGGCAATGCTAACTACTGGGCTGAATAGTGTAAGTAATATAACCTACTAGCCTTGGAAGGCCAAAACCACGAGTGTATTGGTGCCATTCAGTTTTTTCCGGATGTTTCGCTATTTCCTCGAGAATCTTCGCCACAAATGCAGGCAACGGACCATCCGGAAACCCCTAAAAGTGTCGCGTTGTGAGCTTATCACCAAGAATTCTCGGCTTATTGTTATAAAGCGCTCAACATTATCAGTAGCTAGCTTTACCAAGCTCTCTAAACATACACTGTATGTGTGAGAAGAAAGATTTCCTCTAAAAAAACCCAAAAACATATTTTTGAGGAAGACTGTACTGATGATTCCCACTCCTACGCTATGCTATGTCTCAGTTTACAGCTAAGAGATGAAACACGGACTACTTCTCAATATATCGAGTCGGTACGTGTTATATTTTTTTCTACCACTCACCTATGATCCTAATATTTCGAAATATTGTTACAGTTATTCAGCTTAAACAAGAAAAATCACCGGGAGTACCAAGGCTTCCCGGACATTCAGTGTGTAAAATTCCGTGTTAGTGATTTTACTGGGCTGTTTTTACAAGGCTTTTCCGTCGTTAGTCTCATATTTCCAGCTAGTACCCACTAAAAAAAGGGCAGTTTTTTTAGCAAATAAAATCGGAAACCTGGCCAATATTCACTGCTTTGCACTCGGATGCCAATGCTGTGAATTCCACCCTGAAAAAAAAAAGCTTCATCAATGAAGATTACCGGATCATAACCGAGATCTCGCATAAAAAATTTCAGTAACCTTTTTAGCTTCCCTCCCCACCTTTCTTTTTAATTTTGAAGTTAAAAGAGAAACAGAGGAACAGGCAAGAAGTACCGGCCATAACGAATTTTTATAGCAATTACAAAAACTCAGCTCGGCTCGGTTCGGCGCGGCCTGCGTCACACACGATCTGCGGACGATTTTTTCGGGTGTCCTTACCGCGCTGCGGCCATGCGCAGCCGGTGAACCTTGCCGCGAAATAGCGTTAGTAGAGATGTTAGAGTAACGGCCGAGCCGAGTTTTAGTAATTGCCCATTCTTTTTATAGCATCTCTGATGTGAAGTGGGGCAGGGACTTACCATAAACTTGGTTTAACATCCGCAATACGTTCCGCATAGCGTGGTCGCTTTTTTGGCTGCGTTGCGCTCATATCGGACACAAACGCTGTTGCAAATTTACCGTGCTGTAGTGTGTGTGCTCGGTGGGTCGCCCATAAAAATCTGAGTGGAAGTGTGGCACGTTGAAGTGATAGCATTGATTTCGCTGATAACGCTGATGCTTTTGATAAAAAGCATTCGATAGCGCTTTTTTTGCTCGTTTTTTATAGAATTTGCCGAGCGGGGCCCTTTTCGATTTTCCTCGATATCGGCTCTTTTTTTTTGTTATCGCTTGGGGCGCCACAACCCTGAATTACACGATGAAGCGAGCAAACAACAGCTTCGTCAGCGAAGCATGCGAAAAACACCTGAAAAAGAAAATGGCGCATCAAAATAAAACGATAAAATGATAAGAAACTGATAACGATGCGGCATTGGAGGGTGGGAAGAGAATATTTGCCGAGAAATGTGGTATTAATCATTTAAAGCTGATAAATAAAAGCTGATAAATGTACACGACTTAATGGACCGAAATATTTCTTACCTATAACAAATATTTCTTTATACCCTTTATTTATTATAATATCCTTTTCCTCTTCTTC